GGAAAATGGAAAGTTACTTTTTAAAAGAAACAAGTTACAATTACCTGTTATCGAGTAGAAAAAGTAACAAGTTGCCGATTTTTAAAAATAATCCGTTACAGTTATCCGTTACTTGAATAAATAACTTTTCGTTACTTTTTCGTTTTTTTTAAAATTGACGACCACCACAGTAGACAATCATACCACAGATGACAATCACAGCGGACGAGCTTGTAGAGATTTTCTAGTCTCAAGTGCCACGAATGGCGTGTGTCCAATCGTATCGTGTCCAATTATGTGCAAAATAACGATAAAAGTAACTGTAAAATTCGTTATCAATAAAATGTAACTTCGTTATCATTACAGTTACCAAAGAAAAAAGTAAATGCAGTTATCAGTAAAATTACCAAAAAAGTAACTCGTAACTGTAACTTTGTTACAAGTATAACGAATTACTTTCATTCCCTGGAATTTCCTTTAACTCTGGCCCATATCCAGCACTCCTTTCGAAAAAATGGGAGAAAAGACAGGATTTTCTCTTTTTCGACTGATAAAACTAACGCTCGATAAGTTAAATTAGTCAAAAAGCTGAATTAAGAAATATCGGTGCTAGAAACATTCAATTGTATACATTGCGTGTTTTGACTAATTGATATTCGCTGCTGACCTATTAGTGTATCCGTTATTGGCTGATGCAAATATTTAATCCGCATACCGATGAAGATACTTTTATTTGCCTTCGTTACAAGGGACTTGGTCTTACTCCTTAATGCGGTCAGCAGCAGGAAGGTTTCATGCCACTTTTTTCTTACTGGTCTTCTTACTGCGAGGTAAGGTAGCGAAACTCGTTATCTGAAATTAAAATACGATGTTATTATAGCTTATATTTTTATTATGGAATTCAGATGACATGTTATCAATCTCTCGCCATTTTTTATGGTTTTGATAGAATTTATAAATGATAAAAAATGAAGAGCAAGATCGTTTTCTTTGAAAAGTTTAGACTAAAACTCAACCAATTATTTATAAAATTACTTATAAGTTCAAATATAAAAATCCCTTATTTGAAAGGAACAAACCATTCTCTTGTAATTAAAAAAATTATGGATTAATTGCGTTATAATGCCATTTAAAAATTAATATCATGCAAGACTAAAATGCACAGTTAAGTGTTATGTGTTATGATTAAAAAAGAAATTGCAGTTAATTGTGGATTAACAAGACTCAGAAATCAGAAACTAGTCCATACGATCTTAATGAAACAGTCCATTTCTTCTGGCCGAATTTCCTATTAGGATAAAATACGAAATATGGAATTGGGATAGAGAGAACGAACAAGCTTTTATCATATTTTAAAAACATTAAAGACAAAACAAGTATATGTAATTATTTAGTCATAACAGTAACATAATTTCTCTATGAAATATGCGACATTAATGAAATGCGTTTAATTAATGTCAGTGATAATCTCTTTTCTGTTGCTGTAAGGAGATATCACGAATCTGTGAGTTCGATTCATTTTCAATATTCTCTTCATGATTTTCGAATTTTTCTGTATTCATTGCACCTTCTTCTTTCTTATTATCTTCAATTTTAAAAGCTTTAATTTCGTTTAAGGACACAATCTTAGTACCCAAGTTATCAGCAAAAGTGTTATCTTTGTCGAAATTTTTAATGTTGTCATCGCGCTCCGATTTCAGTGGAATCTCTTCTACGTCCACTTCTTGCTTTGAAACAGATAATTTTGAGGATGTGTTTACAAACGCCTGGGATCCGATACTACTTGATCTCGATGCGGATTCACTGGTCTCAGAATACGAGGAGCTGGAATCTTCCTCTTTAGCGGAAGCTTCATTTTGTTCCTTGTGGAAAGCGTTGTGAAAGATGTTCTTCGGAATCGTTAATAATTTGGAAAAACTCTCCTTAGCGCGTAATCTATTAGATTTCTTCTTTCTTTTTTTCGTGTCCGGGGTATGTGCTAAGAATATATCTTTCGTAGTATCCGCGTTTGAAACAGTTCTCAATGTACCAGTTTTAATAACCAAAGTGGCCTTCAAAGCATTTTGAGACTCGTTTTCGTTAATGTCTTCATTACTTATTATCTCGTTACTTGTTGGAACTTTCGGAGCGAGCTTTTTATGATATTTTCCTGCGCGAGTATCACCATCAAGATCGCAATTCGATATACTTGACGTAATGTAAGATTGAACCGCAGTATCGCAAGCACAAGTACTCAACGAATTGTCAGTCCTAATTTCCCGTATATGTTCCTTACCTTTGTCAATCGTATTCAACTTTTCTTGGGAAGATACGATGCTTGTTACAGCTTTGTGCGCATCATCTAATAATTGCTTCAACTCATTGAATTTTTGCTGACATATCTCGCCGGTTATTCGTTCAAGACCAGTTTCTGTATCAGGCTTTTGAGAAACAGTTGAAACTACTCCTTGATTACTTTTCGGTTCATCAATATATTCAATTTGCCTATTAGAATCACTTTGCTGAGAATCAGATTCCTTTATCGAATAATCGATATTTATTTTGTCTGTGCTTTTTGTTACCGCAGGTATTGACAAGTTTTCCATCGAGATATTCTTGATCTCTATGGTTTGCAGGTCTATTTGAGCCGAGTCTGTGTCAACGAACTTGCCGCTCGATTCCATCGATGACGATTCATTATCTTCTATTTTCGTTGCGGATTTGTTTTCGTTTGCGGATTTATCGCTATCGGTATAAGTAGTAATAGATGTCGGACGGTCTACCGATTTATTATTTTGAGATAATAACAGTAAAAGCTCGACAGCTTGTTCAGGAGTCAGGATGTTTAGGGACGATGGTAGGGAGACATTTTCGGAAGGTGTGCGGTCGAAATCCTCGTCCCTGTCCTTCAAAGACCATAAAAAAGTATGTGTTATTAACTGAGTTGACGAATGTGCGTGAAAGAGCGATGTGTAATTTCTTTCTTTTTTTTTTTGTTAATGATAAGTGTGTACACGATTATTAGTCTCTATGCTACTCGGGCTTACTTCGGGCGTCTTCTTCGCGGTAGAACGAGGCTTCACACGTGTTCTCGCACCGACGCTTGATGTTCTTACTAAAGAATCACCCTGAGAAGTCGTTCGCTGGGATTGCAACGCCTCGCCGCTACTATAACCGCTAGATATGTCGTCCGAGGACCTTATATTTCTATAAATATAAAGAGATTTGTTATTATCGACCGCTCGTTAATGATTGTTGTTGAAAGCCGCGCGGGACTACGTACGTTAAACTAGCTATGGGCTCCCTAGGCCTTGGTTGTCGAACATCGACATCTACTTCGGAAAAATACATCTCTACTCGAGACGCATTGCTGCTGGACTGAGTCCTGCGAGGACTATAGCCTCTTCTGCCAATGTGCTCTCTTCGACGAGGTTCCACTATAAGAACCAGAAATTTTATTTACTTAAATTAAGTTACTAAGCGGTAAGCACGTTTTGTTTTATATTCGAAAACTACTTAAATATTTTTAAAAATTTATGTAAACTACATATAATATGTATAAAATTACATATTTATAAAGTACATAATTATATTCAAAATAAACATATAAGTCCGTAAAAATATAAAAAAAAAAATATTTGCTTGCGTTCAAAATATTTCCTTTTATTCTCGCAAAATCTCCATTTAATGAACACGACGCGAGAGATCAGCTACCTTCCATATCTGTTTCGTCACGCGCATCGGATGTGTTTCTATTTTCGTCCTCCTTCTCGCCGGTTAGATCACTGAGGCTGTAACTTTTCCTCAATTGTTGCACCAGCCCACCGCCGCCCTGGAAAACAAAGCCGCCCGTGAAACATGCGCCGCAAACAGTAACGCGAACAGTATGTTATTGCGAGAAAAAAAAGATGAAAAAAAAAAAAAGAATTAAGTTATCGAGAGAAAAACTCAAAGAATCGATTAAGTAAAAGAAAACAAAATAAAAATCTTACCAACCAAAAGGATGTTAATGTGTTATCTGCCGTCACCCGGACACGGAAGGCAAACTCCCCTTATGCCGAATTTAGATCAATCCAAAGGCGATTTCTTGCTTTTCCCGGACGTATATACGTGTCTTTCTGTTAAACATGCGCCGTCCAGAAGCACGCGACGGCCGATGATATATAAATGCGTGCAATATGCGTGAGTAACCGTCGCGTTTAATATAGCGCGTCGTTTAGCGATTAGTTCTATTAATTGAATCTTGTGATCTTATATTTTTGGAAAGAATGCGCTGCTGGTGCGAGAATTAATGCCTGGAATGAGAGTCGCTGTTTGGGATACAGCGGGAGATGATGTAAGACAGGACGCAGTCGTTGCGGCGAAATGAACAAACAAAAACAGAGGATCAAAAGCTCATCCAAATAATACTTTTATTTGAAAAGAAAGGAATCAGCTCATCATAATAATCAGAGTCTTTGGGTTACAAAAATCTTATTCGCTAGAACAGCTCGATGCTAAGCGCTCGCACACGGAAAATTATATGTGAGAAGGCATCGAGTTTACGTGGCCAGAGATTGTCTTTGTTGCCGCAAAGACTAAAATTGACCCCTTTTCGCGTAAATTAATCCCTGATAATTCATTCGGAACTATAACGTATACATGTACTGTTAAAGCATCCGATCGCAAGGATATAATACGCAATCCTCTAAAAGAATAATCGATTACATATACACTGAAAAAATATGTTAAATTTTAATGTTTTGAATTTGATTAATACTAATTGAATATTTACTAAATGTAAACATATTTATTCCTTTACAAGAATTGAAATAACTTACAAGAATTTGATATAATCATCATTTTGATCATGAGTTAATTTTTATATTTATTACAAGTAAATATTGAGTTAGTACTATTGAAAAAAATATATATTAAGATTTAGTATATTTTTCCTCAGTATACCTGTAGCGTAAATTACGTACAATAATATTTTCTCATATATCAAATAATACACGCGTCTTTTTCCGTCTATGCGTCTCCATAAACGAGTGACGTCGAACAAGTAGCAACGAGTATTTTATCAGTGTTGATACAGCAAGACACATCCAACAATTGTTGCTCACAATAGTCGATGAGGAATTAATTTTATTGTTACTATGATTTTTCCGTGTGCGCGCGATCTAACAAATTTTTTTTTGGTAACTTCGTAGGTGAAATGCGCAAACGAGATGACGAATATACAAAAAACGTGACACTAGCTAAGAGAACAATGATGATGATGATGATGATGATGATGATGATGATGATGATGATGATGATGATGATGATGATGATGATGATGTTGACGATGACGATTACGCGAACGCGTGATTGTCCATCTCGTTGTATACATTCTCAATTCTCGTATTAACAATTCTTTTTTCTGAGTTCCTCCTCTCAATACAACTTGTAGAATATATAATTTGTCGAGCATGCAGCATAAAGCAGATGCTTAAAGTCTCAGTTTCAATGACTTCGATCGAGTTAATTTAAGTTAAAGATTCGTTGTCTTTTTGTAGATAACAATCCTACTTATGACGAAATCGAAAAAAGACTTAGTCATAAGTCGATCTACCTCTAGGACTACAAACGTCAGTTTTTGAAAACCGACTAAAATTTCACTCCACGTTTTATTTTATAATTTAATAAGTCGATTTGAATTTTTATAATTGATTTACAATGTTTAGCATTCTCATCGAAAAAAAATTTATCAAAAAATACATTTTATCAAAATATACATTTATATATATAAAAATATCCAACTGGATTTGAGAAACTCACATGAAGTTTCAAAAGATGTGTAGTCTTAGAGTTAATCGAAGTCAGTGTTCATCGTGATGGTTGATTGTCCTAATCACATCATGAAACTTATTTAAAAATTATGAGATAAAAATGACATAATAGAAAAAAAGATGTAATTGTTAATTACATAGAATTTTTAATTAATATTTTCTTTGATATATTTTATATGTCAATGATTTTTTATTATCGTTCTTAAACTGAACGTCTTGACCGCACACTTTGACATAATTGGCATTATCATTATTATTAATGTCAAGGCAATATGTGGAATATCACGTAAAAATATTGAGATTGCTTCTAAAGCTATTTTATATTCCAGCTAAGACGTACGTAATACTTATAAATCTTAAAATTGAACGAAGTTTATGTGGAATAATTATACAAATCGAAATAAGGCACACGAGTGGAAACTATTAACAAGTCCTATCTTCGTCGAAAATGTGTACATGATTAAAAGTTCTCCACTATAGTTATGTAACGATTAAAGCCTTTCAAAATTTTCGTGTCTTTCTAAAAAATAGAGATACAAGATTGTACAAAAAGTCTTTTATCTATTAATGTATTAAATACCTATCAGTGTATTAAACAACCTTTTCGCTAAAGTATATTTTATCCATAGTTAAACAATCACACATAGTGTAATTTTTATACTCACGAAAGCAATACAGACAAGAGATTATATGTATCACTAAATGAAAATTTGTCGTGAACTCCGCGAACAGAAAATTTCGTCTCGCGTATTCCCATAAAAAAAGAAACGCAAAAAGCAAACTCGTAATAGATTGCATGAAAGAAAAGTATCAAAGTGTTTTGAGTATATAATATACAAAAAAAATTGTCATCGATCCTCAGAGCGCTTTCTTTCGCGCGTAAAAAAGTCTTTTATCACTCGTAATAATGCATCAGACACAAATCATTCGAGCTTTCGATAAAAATCATCAACACTTTCTAATAATCCTGATTCTTTCTGCTTTCCAGATTTCCGATGGTTTATCCTCGTTTTTCCACTGTCTATATATCAAGTCATTTTCTTCTTTCCATTTTTCTAGTCTAGTTAATTGACACCGGCATCGTCACTAAACTCTAAATCGTAATTCTTCGTGGTCGACTTGCAGGCGCGAATCTTCTGTCGCCTGGTGACTTTGGTAGTGATGCTACGCTCCTTCCTACATTTTCGTGTTTTCCGTGGGGCTTCCTTCTCGGGCACCTTGAACTCCATCGTTTTTTGTTCCTCCAGCTGATCGCTCTCCGTATCCGTCATTGGCAGATCCTGTATTAACATCTCATCGTCGTCCGTTGTCGAGTCGCGGTACTGCCAGCCGACAATCATATCCGTATCGCCTATCACCAGATCATCGGACCTAGCATGCAGATGACTGTAGATCGCGCTGTCGTCCGGATAATCCGGCCCGTCTAGCTGGCTGTTTAACCACGTTGTCGGTCTGAGGTTGGCTAAGCTAGAAATCGCCGGGTCTGATTGACGATCAGGGAGTGCACTCGTGGTCGGGAATACAATCGGGAGATTCTATCATGTGATGCCGAAATTTTTATTTATTTATTTTTTTATTTATATATAATTTTTTTTGCGTTTCAATCGGCCAGCAATTCGGCGTGTTCGTGTTGGTGGTTGTTGTTACGGGTCAGTGGCAGAATTTCGTCGTGTAGTTGACGATGATTCGGTGTAGACAAATTTCTTAAGCAACGGCAGCGGTTAGGGCGATGGTTAAGTGTTCGGTATTTGCCGTGCGTGGTTTTGCGGATGA